ACAAGAAGCAGAATACATGTGTTGTCCTCCTCCACTCTTCAGGCATTTATACAAAGTCATAGCTAAGGGGATAATTCGGGTTTATGTGCATGGCCCCAAATATTTCACCAAGGGCGATTTAAAATGCCTGCCCCTTTTCAAGTCAGTGGACAGATTCAGAATGTCTTGAGGACTGGTGTTGTGCACCCTCAAGCTGGGTAGTTTCTTAGGAGTTTTTGTATTTTCTTTTATATCAAAGCGTTAAATGCTTCTTTTACATGTGTATATATTTTGATAGTATAATAATAAAATGGAAAACGTTTTGTTAGTGTGACCCTATACTCTAAATGTGCCACTCTAACAGGGCTATTCACTAAAGGGTGAAGAGTTTGGAGAAGGCAGGAGAAGTGAACAATCTAGGACAACATAGCTGATTTGTAAAAAGTTTCCAATTCAGCTCACTTTCCAGTTCAGCTATGTTGTCCTAGATTGTTCACTTCTCCAAACTCTTCATCCTTTTTTGAAAATAGCCCTGTAAATGTGTATAGAGTGGCAGGCAGGGTCCTTGTTGTTAGTGGTCATCATGAGGATGTGGTCTGTCAGATACTTGGAACAGATGTAACCACGAGGTATTGGCAAAGGTAACCTGTGGAGCAGCAGGTAGGGACACTATGGCAGCTGCAGGCTTGCAGGATGCCCGTAGCTGTATTAGGGTGCCCGTAGACATGAGATGACATGTGCCCAGTTTAGACTTTTTGGGCATGATCACATATTTCTTGCTGTCCTCAGCTTGCCACTGCCTGCTGTTGTGGAAACACTTGGTCAGGTTAGAAAACATACCCAGTTTGTTACTGTTCCCCTGCCAATTATGCAGCTTCTGCTTGCCCCATTCAGATTGCTTGTAAGATCGGCTGAGCACACATTTTAAAGAGTATCATAACTCGAAAGCAAAACGTTTCTGATCTTCAGGGCTCCCCCTGATTTGAACTATAAAACTTCTTCCCTTTTTTCATCTCCATTACACGGGGTGCACAGAAATGAGCAGTTTACAGAAGGAAGATTGTTTGTGCTTTGAGTTTAGCTCACAGGAAGTGACAGACACATTTGTGGCAAGATCAACGGGTATTTTCCGAACTTGCAGAAATTGACCTTGGCCTGAAAAGAACTGAAAAAGAAAGTAACCTAAGGACCAGTAAGCTCTACATATTACATTTTTGTTCTAGGGTTTAACATAGCCTTTAAATGTTCAAGGCTAACGGAGTGCCTTCAGGACAGTCAGATTATACTTGCTTGTCTGTGCCAACCTTATTTCTTGTTTAAATCATAGCATTAGGCTAAAAACACGGTGCCATGTGTGTAGCCCACACTAGCGCACGGTGCCATGTGCTAGATACATTGCAATTCATTTGAATGACACCCCAACAAACCTCCAGGTGGCCATGCTTTGGCCATGAAAAAAGTAGTGCATGCATACCGAATACTTGTGTACCTCAGAAAATAACTTTGCAGGCAAAACAAGGAAGTTGCCCGTTGTTGACCTGCGTTCAGCTTATTAATGTCCCCCATTGTCTTCAGCTAGGGACTGAACGTTCAAATTGATGGAAACTCTTACACTATACTGACTAGGAAATAAAACAATTTGATGGCAACATAATATAGCCTAGTTTACTCCCTATTTTGTCCAAAATGGTCCACTCTCTCGAGATCACTTTGTAGTATCTGTTTTCCAGATTTGTATTCATTAAGATTTTCAGAAACCCATTAGAGAACATGATCATGTTCGTGTTGCCATGCAAGTTCCCCCCCCCCCCCCCCCCCCATGGCATGGCTTTCCCTTTGGACAAGAAGCAGAATACATGTGTTGTCCTCCTCCACTCTTCAGGCATTTATACAAAGTCATAGCTAAGGGGATAATTCGGGTTTATGTGCATGGCCCCAAATATTTCACTAAGGGCGATTTAAAATGCCTGCCCCTTTTCAAGTCAGTGGACAGATTCAGAATGTCTTGAGGACTGGTGTTGTGCACCCTCAAGCTGGGTAGTTTCTTAGGAGTTTTTGTATTTTCTTTTATATCAAAGCGTTAAATGCTTCTTTTACATGTGTATATATTTTGATAGTATAATAATAAAATGGAAAACGTTTTGTTAGTGTGACCCTATACTCTAAATGTGCCACTCTAACAGGGCTATTCACTAAAGGGTGAAGAGTTTGGAGAAGGCAGGAGAAGTGAACAATCTAGGACAACATAGCTGATTTGTAAAAAGTTTCCAATTCAGCTCACTTTCCAGTTCAGCTATGTTGTCCTAGATTGTTCACTTCTCCAAACTCTTCATCCTTTTTTGAAAATAGCCCTGTAAATGTGTATAGAGTGGCAGGCAGGGTCCTTGTTGTTAGTGGTCATCATGAGGATGTGGTCTGTCAGATACTTGGAACAGATGTAACCACGAGGTATTGGCAAAGGTAACCTGTGGAGCAGCAGGTAGGGACACTATGGCAGCTGCAGGCTTGCAGGATGCCCGTAGCTGTATTAGGGTGCCCGTAGACATGAGATGACATGTGCCCAGTTTAGACTTTTTGGGCATGATCACATATTTCTTGCTGTCCTCAGCTTGCCACTGCCTGCTGTTGTGGAAACACTTGGTCAGGTTAGAAAACATACCCAGTTTGTTACTGTTCCCCTGCCAATTATGCAGCTTCTGCTTGCCCCATTCAGATTGCTTGTAAGATCGGCTGAGCACACATTTTAAAGAGTATCATAACTCGAAAGCAAAACGTTTCTGATCTTCAGGGCTCCCCCTGATTTGAACTATAAAACTTCTTCCCTTTTTTCATCTCCATTACACGGGGTGCACAGAAATGAGCAGTTTACAGAAGGAAGATTGTTTGTGCTTTGAGTTTAGCTCACAGGAAGTGACAGACACATTTGTGGCAAGATCAACGGGTATTTTCCGAACTTGCAGAAATTGACCTTGGCCTGAAAAGAACTGAAAAAGAAAGTAACCTAAGGACCAGTAAGCTCTACATATTACATTTTTGTTCTAGGGTTTAACATAGCCTTTAAATGTTCAAGGCTAACGGAGTGCCTTCAGGACAGTCAGATTATACTTGCTTGTCTGTGCCAACCTTATTTCTTGTTTAAATCATAGCATTAGGCTAAAAACACGGTGCCATGTGTGTAGCCCACACTAGCGCACGGTGCCATGTGCTAGATACATTGCAATTCATTTGAATGACACCCCAACAAACCTCCAGGTGGCCATGCTTTGGCCATGAAAAAAGTAGTGCATGCATACCGAATACTTGTGTACCTCAGAAAATAACTTTGCAGGCAAAACAAGGAAGTTGCCCGTTGTTGACCTGCGTTCAGCTTATTAATGTCCCCCATTGTCTTCAGCTAGGGACTGAACGTTCAAATTGATGGAAACTCTTACACTATACTGACTAGGAAATAAAACAATTTGATGGCAACATAATATAGCCTAGTTTACTCCCTATTTTGTCCAAAATGGTCCACTCTCTCGAGATCACTTTGTAGTATCTGTTTTCCAGATTTGTATTCATTAAGATTTTCAGAAACCCATTAGAGAACATGATCATGTTCGTGTTGCCATGCAAGTAAAATAACACATGCTCATATTACACACATTAAAGAATTGATGATGATCTAAATGAAATTTGAAATTATTAGACAGACAGTATTAAATAAATGGGTAATTTTTCCAAGGGTGGGAGTGGCAGAAAGGAGCAAAGGAAAGCAAAAGGATGCTCCCTCCAGCACAAAATGGAAGATGTACTAAAGGAGAGACTGGATTAACTCGGGTGGACAAACTAATATGGAATTCAGGGGCCAGTCTGTACAACCCAGGAGCCAGCAGGATTATTTTTAGGAGCCAGCTCCAATGACAACAACCAGAAAAAAGCTTCAGAAGTTAGTTGCCAGCTGTAAATTTTAGGGATCATTGTTGTCCTGGCTCCTGGGGTTTGTCCAGCCCTGGATTAACTAGTAGGATCGCTCAAAAATATTTGTTTTATTTTTGTTTAATAAAGGTCAGGGATATTGATTTTTGAAGAATGAAACAAAAAATTTGTGTGCGTTTTATTATTAAGCATGTATAGATAATTTATTCAATGTTTCTTCGAGCATCTAGCTAATGGATGGAGGTGGTTTTAATTTGTTGTTGGATGCTCACGAGTTCCCCAAGTGAATGGACGAAATTGCAAGCCTTCTCCTACACTACCAAAGAAGCACCTTCTTTAGCTTTCCAATGCTGTGATGTCACTGTGCATGTCGTTCATATAGTGCCTTAGAAGGCCTCTTTGTTGCTCTTCAATTTGGGTTATACTGAATACACATTATTATACACTAAAAACGCTCCGTCCATTTCTGGTATTTGTGATTTTTGCCTTAGGTAGGCAACCTCAGATAAATTTGTTCTTATTGAAGAATACTTGTATAGCAATATACCCAATTTACTTTGGTGTCATAGTAATTACTGGTTGTTTTGTTTTGTTTTTTCCTACTTTTGCAGCAAACTGCGGAATGGAGCAAATATGATGATCGGTTAATGAAAGCAGCAGAGAGGGGAGATGTAGAGAAGATTACCTCCACTCTCACCAAGAAGGGAGTGAATCCCAGCAAGTTGGACCTAGAGGGACGCTCTGCGTGAGTGCTGTGATATAGCAATATATAGATAGGCTGCACCTGTAGTGGGAAAGCCGTTTGGGTTATTTTCCTTACTGTGGATGTTTTGTAAATGGTTTTGATTCTAATCTAATATTACTATACTGAACATAGTATCAGTTCAGTCACATCTGGTACATACCGTTAAAGGAGAACTATGGGGTCAGTGTTTTTCCCCATAGTTCTCCTTAGGGTAACGGGAGGACACAAACTAGTGCCCTCCCGTTACCCTAAGCTCCGTATACCGCGAGCTACAGCTCGCGGTATACTGAGACGCCGGAGCGGATCCCGACGTAGATGACGGGATCCGCCCAGCTGCGTGAGTGACAGCTGGCTCTGCCTATCTAGAGGCAGAGCCAGCTGTACTCGCCCCCTCCCCGTCCGTTCCGCCAGTCAGCGCTGGTGGAGCTGGGAGGGGGGAATCCAGCCCCTCCCCCTGTCACGGCAGAGAGCCGGGACAGGATCGAGAGGTGAGCGAACCCGGTATGTGTTCGCTCACCTCCCGGTCTACTGAGCCGACCTGTGACAGTCTCATTGTCACAGATCGGCTAGAACTATGAGGTGAGTGGAAATCACTCATCTCATAGTTCTCCTTTAAAGAAGAAGTGCAGGGAGAGTAAAATATACTCTCCCTCTTGCTTAGAACTGGTGGGGACTGCAGTTATGAATCAGAACACATAGTAAACAGTGAGGTTTTCTACTATTTAACTGTAAAGGTTGAATGAGCTTTCAAAGGATTTTGTGCTCTGGGTTGCCTCCTATTAATTTGCAGCATATGTCTGACTCATTTTTTTTGTCAGACGTATTCCCTTATAGTTTCTTATGTGGAGTCTGTGCTACCTCAACCCACACACAAGTATGCAAACACTGAGAGTTTAAAATATGTGCTTCATCATTTATGTTGTAAAGAAACAAACATGAAGCTATATTTAGCAGATTTACCATTCAGCAGTATGTTTTGGGACTTGGTGTCTCATCTGTGATGCACTGAAACACACACATAGGAGCTTTAATGAAATCTTTGGCTTCCGTATGTTCTCGATGTCTCCTGCCAGGGAATCTAAAAGCTCAGAAAAATATGTTTGATCACGTTCAGCGTTTTGTTTTCTGGCTCAGAGTATCGTCTCCATTTATGGTGAGATGAGGATCTGAGAGAAGCAGGGGGAAGGTGAAAGCTCTGTATATCTCCAAAAATGAAATTGTAGAAATGATACATAATGTCAGACAGGAGATGCTGAATTCTAATTCCTCACTATGGTGCAGTGCTGAGCATTTCATCCTGTATACATGGCCTGTCCACCTTCTCTGGAAGGGACACACGTGGTATGACAAAGTTCTAATTCAGGCTTTAGAGAATTAAATTCCAAGAGATGGCAAAAAGCCATCATGTTTAGGTTACAAAATCAAACATATAATGGATTCCTATTTATCTGTCAAGATGAGTCGCGACTTGTAGAACATGTGTTTTTGTAAATCGCATTGCTTCCTCTTCTGTATCCACAAATAGCTTTGTGACACTTACAACTCATTAGTCATTAATATGTCATTGAGCTACAGGAGGGTGCTGCCTGTAAACCTGGGCAGGATGTGTGTATTTGTTTATGTTAAAAGCTTAATTGGAGCTACAATTGAGAAGTATAGATTGGCTTTGTAGGAGGGGTGCTGGATTAGTGGTTTACCACCCTGAATAATTCACTGTTTTATATCTTTGTGTTCAGATTCCATGTTGTTTCCTCTAAGGGTCACCTGGAGTGTCTAAATTCCATTCTACTACATGGAGTGGATCTCACGGCTCCTGATGCTGTCGGTACGTTGGCTGGTTTGTTTTTTCTTTAAAGAGACGTTTTGCATGTCATAAATGCAATGAGAACAGTGTGAGCTCAATGGGATCCAATGCCTCACCAGATCATTATGGACTGCCAAAACTACTCGGTGAAGACGCCACATATGATGTGACCTATTCACTAGGACAGAATATTCTTTCTTTAGTTGGTACTTGGTGGAATACACTGAGGGCCCATTTACATTCTTGCAGTTTATGTTGGCCATTAATGTTGCAGTAAAAGTAGCGTATTAAAAAATAATTGGCTGCCAAAGCCCCCAAATATCCAGAGAAATGGACAGAATTTGTAATGCAACAAACCATAGTGCATTGGTTCAGTGCATTGTGGTGCAGTTCAAAATGAACATGTAACATGCTTTGTCATGTTTTATGGTAACGCAAGCATTTATTGTAGATGTAAATGGACATGGAGGGGACATCGGCCTGTGTAGATTCCAGCACTTTCAAAGCATTGGTGGTGTTTTGTGGGGTGCTTGTTCTAAGTAGAGATGAGCCTGCGCTTGGTGCGAACCCAGATTGCCTGAGCTTGCCCAAGCCCACCCAAAACTGGGACCGCCACCCCCTCCTTCCAGCCCATTCCATTGCGGAGATGCATGTTCACACAGGAGTTTGTGGATTGCAACTGATTGGGTCAGGAGAAAGGTGTGGCGGCCATCGTTTTTGAGCAGGTGTGGGCAAATTGGGTTTGCACCAAGCACCGGCTCATCTCTAGTTGTAAGTTCTGGTCTGTTTAGACCTCATCAGCGGTTTGAATTATTCATTAATAAATCCTTAGGAACATCTTTGTCTCTTGCTCCTCCAGAGTTCATGAATCCTTTGTTTTAAGGCCTTTAGAGACATGATGACATCTTCCTTCATCTGTATTTTCTAACCCGTTTCATATTGAACACTTGTGTTTAACGCCAACACCTTTTGCAGTATGTGGTCCAACTGTAATATTCTGTTGGTGACATGTAACATGCCATTGCTGGGCAGCCTTGTGGCTTTTTGGACCACACACACGCCACTTTTAAAAATCTGCCAAGTGGTTGCACTCTACAGTTTTAGATTTGACTTTGATCAAGGAAAGAAATGTGAACTGTGGTGCCAGGCTTACCAAATACCATTTTAACAATAGAAACAGTGTTTACAATTTTAATGTACCATAATAATGTTGAATGCTAGTGATCCCTGTAATAAGTGGAGCAACACTTGTGCCCAGTGGAATTCTTCAGCCTGTTGCCCAGCTACTATTAACCCTTGATAAAATTGATGAGTGGAGTTAAAATAAAGCCCACACATTTACAATTACTTATGAGTTGCAGAGAAGACCTATGTGCTGCTGGCCTGTCCAGTTATAAAAGAAAAATACTCTTCTACCTCTAGTACATTTGTTTGGGTATTCTCATATTTGCTTCCCTATCATTGGAAAATGTCTGGAGATTTAAGCAGGATCTGTCACTAGTTTGGAAACATTAAATAGTGCTCCCTCCTCCTGTGCTCTGATCACAGAAGTACTACCTCTCAGGCCAGCCTTGTGTAAGAAGCTGTCTGAAAGCAGAGCTGTATGTACTACAAATACCAACAAAACAATAAGATCATCTGTTCCATTCACAGGAAGCAAAAAAAGGAATTGATACAACCTATCACTGTGATCAACAATCAGCACCTCTCACCATACACTCTTACTATAGGTTATTTATTGGCTAATATAATCATATCAGAATGGAATATATCAGTTGTTAAACGTTTGCATGCGTTAAAAGAACGCAAGCTCTATTCACACTCAAGCCTAGATCTTCTTCACCCCCACCTGCATCCCCTCCTACCAAACGGTACGCCCTCTTCCCTGATGCTTTGTTTTTGTTTCTATTCTTACCTTCTCTAACTACCCTTACTGCACCCTCACCCACACATATAGTTCCAGCTACAAGGGAAAGGACTCCTTTATTGATGCTTTATTTCTCCCTGAATATTCCCTCTTCTCTCTAACATGATGTTATAGAATACTCCATACATGTTCCCTCTCTTGGGAAAGCAACGACTGAACTTTCTAGGAACCAGATGAGACCCTTTCAGCCCATTTCCTTATGTCTTCCAACAACGGTCTCTGTTTTGAATATTATTATCTTACAACAAAGCTTATTGAAAACTCTTTGAAAAAAAAATCACTCGATAAAATTTACTTGAATAAAAAAAAAAATGTAACACCAGCAAAGTATATCTGATGTTCAGGATGCCCCCTTGCACCATCTTCATCAGACAGTTGCCATTTACATCTGCTTCTTTCCTTGTCTCAGGGCGAAATGCATTACATCTGTCAGCAAAATATGGGCACTCCTTATGTCTGCAGAAGCTTCTCCAGGTGAGTGTGTTTGACTGGGATGGGTGTGCAGTTAAACATGATTGGGTCAGGGGAAAAATGTTGTGTTACACAGATTAAAGGAAATATTCACTATTTTTTTTAAACACTGACAAGGTTGTTTTGATTTAAGTGGAGAATACAGATGACCCTGATGCACCTTCAGAAACCCACAAACATTGCTGCAAGATAGATTAGTGCAGGGGTGGACAAATCATTATGGAATTCAGGAGCCAGCAGGTTTTTTTTTTTAGGAGCCAGCTCCTTTTAACAATGGAGAAAAAACTGTATAGCGATGAGAACAAGAGAGTACCTCAAAAGTTAGGCCCCAGCTGTGGTTTTATAAGAAGGGTTGGCTACCCGAGTCCTGGGATTTGTCCAACTCTAGCTTACCATTTATCGAATTAGTTACACCTTTAACAGTCCGGCTCAGGTGGAAGAATTGAAAGCCTTGCTGCTCCTCCTCAATGTGTCATGAGAACCAGAGGAAAAGGGTTACTAATTATATGTGTAACTGCTTCACCAAAGAAAATACCTCTTTAACCACTTGCTGCGGGTAGCCGTACATTTACTGCGGCCCACAGAAGTGGTTATTCCAAGAACACCCTCCTGCTGCAGCCGTGTTCTTGGTGTCATTTTAAACAGTCGACGATTGCTGTTAATATACAAGCGATCCGGCATCTATAAAGCCGCCAGATCATTTTGGCATGGCGGGTCTCCCTGCAACGATCAGAGAGAGATCCGCAGGCTTCCAGCCACTGATCTCTACTCTGTCTACTTGTCTACTTGACCCGGAAGTGATGTGTATTACATCACTTCTGGTGTCACTGTTTACATTCTCCGACTCTTAGATCCAGGAGAAGAAGCTGGGGAAGCAGATCTCTGCTTCCTCAGCTTTTTTGTGGTCCCTAGGTGATGGCAATAAAGTTATTGTAAAAAAAATGTTTTTTAAAAAAATGCAGATTTAATTTTAGTGCATTTTATCCTAAAAATACTGGTTTGATAAACATTTGCGCAAATACCGTGCAACATAAAAAATTGGCAACTAGCATTTTTTTTAATTCTACAGGGCCTCTGCTTTCAGAACATATATCATGGTTTCGGGGTCTGAAGCTGTTTTCTAGCCAAACATTCAGATGTTATCATATTTGTGCAAATTAGTAAGACATTGCTCCAGACAACAAGTGGTTAAGGGGTGACCATCTGTTCATTCGCTATAATCAACTTTCACCCAAAAAAATACAGCTAAGTTCATTAAGACAATGTGCCTGCAGTAAACACAGCTGATCTATTTGATAAAAACTTTAGTAAATTGCAACTGTAAAAATGAGCAAATAGGAATTGAAATAATGTGCAATGTTTTTGGGAATTGAGCATAATGTGGGAAATATAAATAAAAATGTTCTACTTTGAATGCTGGGGGGATTGACACTTGTCTGGATGCATTTTTTTCACCTCTTCTAGCAAGGCTTCTAGAGTCTAATAAAAGATGTTTACAAGCCAACACTGTCTCTTTATACCCATCGCGTGTGGCACTGCTATTTCCATTAGCCTGGTTGGCAATAAAGCTCCTTTCTCATGTGTTGATCTTTTTTATTTTCTCTTAAATTTTTCTTAGGAAAATAATATTTACATGACAATTGTCTCTCTTTTTTCCTTTCTCTGTATTTTAGTTTAACTGCCCAACAGAGAATGTGGATCTGCAGGGGAGGACAGCGCTGCATGATGCAGGTTAGGAGGGTGCATGATCCAGGACAGTCATATCTTTTGTTCTTCAATCACTCCAGTGTTACTTTGACTTTGTGTGAACACTCTTCAGGAAATGATGTTTTGCTACATCTTTTAGCAGATAAAACCAAGTTCTCCAAAGCGATTCTGTTGAAGTGTGGGGGTACATTTGTAAACTTTGCTTACAAAATGCTAGTTGCCTGACTGTTGTGCTGTTGCTCTGGTTCTGAGCCACTGACCTAGAACACATTTAGAGATGAGCAATTCTGACTTTAATTGACTTTGTTGTATGCAGGCCCGGATTTCCCACAAGGCCACCGAGGCCAGGCCTCGGGGCGGCAGAGCTGGGGGGGCGCATTGTGGAACCTGGCCTTGGGGCGGCAGGGGGAGTAAATCCGGCCCTGGTTGTATGCATATTCTGTATGCAGACCCGCCGACATGAATGATCCCGATCCCACATTGAACCACGCATTGCTATTCAATGCGTTCATGCGACCGTGCGGCTCAGCGCAATCTCAATCACCCCCGCCCGAATTGCTCCCTGACCCTTTTTTGCCTCGCTAATCAGTGCAGTTTCCATACAGCTTTCAACGTGGCAACCACGCTCATCAATTTATAACTAGCTTTTAAAGTAAGGTGCACATAGAAGGGCTTTACACAGTACATACACAAGACAATATCCCAGCACTCTGAACAGCAAGCCTGCAAAGAACAAATTACACTAAGTATTAGCGTTAAAAGCAGAGGTTTTAGTTGCACAACTTTTGCAAAATATGTGGAGGCCACACTGCCTCGTCAAGGCCCCTCTGTGTAGTGTGAGAGCCTCCATCTTGTAGCATATATAGCAAAGGACAAATTGGGTGCAGGTACGCACAAATGTTTTGTTTTTATATTTTATTTATTTTGGAGCCACGTGTGTGTGTTTTTTAAAGTGTAACTATTACAATGAACAAAAGCATCCATGCTATAATAGTAGCATTGGATGCTTTTTGCAAGACCTTGGAATGCAGTTTACATTCTGTTGCACTTTCTGGTTTCAGTTCCAGCACTCAAAGTTACACTAAGATGGCTTTTGTCAAATGGGGTGAAATCTTTATGGGTGACATTCTTTATTTCTATAGTTCAGCATGGTCTTCCAACTAGGGCCCTGCCTCTGTCTGATTTTTGTGTGTGCCACTTCTGATACCATAATGAACTTCTCATCTCACCTAGCTATGTCGGACTGCTGTTCCAGCGTGCAGCTTCTCTGTGATCACGGGGCTTTTGTAAATGCGAAGGACTTGGTAAGAATTCAGACATTCATATTTCTTTCACCCACATACAGCTGAGTTTTTCCTCTTCTTTGTCTGTGCTGCTGCAGTCAGACTTTTACTCCCACCAGTGTTTATTTTGATTGTGAGCTAAGCTTGGCAGTGATTTGCTGATCATCTGTCTATTCAGGATGGAAGGACACCACTTGCTTTGGCCACCCAGATGTGCCGTCCTGGTATATGCCAGCTTTTGATAGATAAAGGAGCTGATATCAATGCACGAGACAAGCAGAATAAGTAAGTGTTCAGATATCAGATGCATACTGATATCTTATATTGATACGAGTTATGATGAATGGATGCTGTGGCCCGAGGAGAAAATCTGTAAGCCTTTTCTGTGTTATCAGGACACCTCTGATGCTGGGATGCGAGTATGGCTGCAAGGAGGCTGTGGAAGTCCTGTTGAGAGCCGGAGCTGACGTTGGGCTGGTAGATGCTTTGGGACATGATTGCTCCTATTACAGCCGAATCGGAGATAATCAGGAGATCTTGTCCCTGATAAGGATTGCTGTTGAAAGCTCACCACGAGGTGACCCTTTTTTTCTTTTCTCTACTGATGTTTTAATATATAATCCTGGCTTTTCAAAATTCTTAAATTACCTTCCAACCAAAACCTTTTTCTTGTTTTCCTTAAAGTGGGAACATTTGTTTTTTTTTTTTTTGCTGTTGCACTGGGTAGATTTTCACACCCTTCCTGTCCTGGTGACTGACCAGGAATTAAGAAAAGGTTACCCTAAAATGTTAGGAAATCCTACCTTTTTGATGGCTTTCAAATTTAGGAGTCCACTTCACCTTCTGTACCAGTAACATAGTTACATAGTTACATAGTATTTGAGGTTGAATAAAGACATTAGTCCATCAAGTCCAACCTATTAGGATCTCATTCTAGGAGTACCTGTACCCCTGTATATTACGGTCCCTTAAGAAATCGTCCAAAAGTTTCTTGAACAATTCCACATTCTTTGCTGAAATCACTGTCTGTGGCAGTGAGTTCCAGACCCTAACTGATCTTACTGTGAAGAACCCCCTTCGCCCCTTGTGCTGGAATTTTTTTTCCACCAATTTTAGGTGGTGGCCTCTAGTTTTTGTAATGGAGTTAATTTTAAACAGTTTATCGCTAATGTTGCTACCACCATTGAACATTTTGTACATGGAAATCATATCCCCCCTTAATCTCCTCACCTCCAATGTGAACATGTTTAAATTTAGTAGCCTTGTCTCGTAGCTCTGGTCCTCCATACCCCTAATTAGTTTGGTTGCCCTCCGCTGGACTTTTTCCAACTCAAGGACATCTTTTCTTAGTACTGGTGACCAGAACTGGACCGCGTACTCCAGATGAGGTCGAACCAATGATCTATAAAGTGGCAAAATTATAGACTTGTCCCTGCAATACATCCCCTTTTTAATACAGGACAAGACCCTGCTAGCTTTGTTTACAGCAGCCTGGCACTGCAAACTACCTTTCAGTTTGTGGTCTACAATGACCCCCAAATCCTTCTCCATTTCT